CCTTTTCGAAGAGAAGCCCACGAAATAGCTTATATTTTGTCATGAAAATGACAAATTGATATGAGTCCCAGAGTACTTCTTCACTGTTGTGAGGGGAAAAAACAATTATGCATTATTCCAAAATAACTGCAACAGCTAAAAATTGAGGAAGTAATACCCAAATGACTGTGCAAAATAAACGGGGAGAATTGTGAACTTTTTAATGTGGAGTTTTCAGCCTGAACTCAAGTTATAAATATCAGCAAATGTTCTACTGTGCTTCATTGCATTCCTCTAGTGCAATTTGTTTAGTGCTTTGAGATATGAGACAGCCATATATTTTACTCTCACTGCTAGTAGCCAATTTGCAAGAAAGCAAGTAATATAAAAATGGCTATTTACTCTGTTACAAGTGGTACAGTCCATTATTACTCTCCACTGATGTCGTTACAAGGATAGCAAATCAATAATCAGTTCTCATTCCCTAACTCGGTAAACCATCTGCTTCCATTATTGTAAACTATGCTCAGTTTGGATGCAACCTTTACTGCCATGCTAGCAGCTGATTCATTTGACAAGACCACAAACATCACCACAGGAAAATTATTCCTTAATTACCTTTCTCTAAAATTTAAATGGTTAAGTGCTAGGGATTTTTTTTTTCCAATGGGAGAAACCAAAATTACAAGATGCTGTAAATATATCAACAAAATGAAAGACTTTCTCTAAATTTTCAAAAAGCAAAGTCCATCTTGCACAGCTTTTTCTGAATTAAGATTGCCCAGGTAAACATTGGCTGTAGTTAGGAATCCTCAGTAAGATGTTTGATCACAGCCCAGGGGACATTGCTTCCAGAGCAACTGGTGATATCAGATATAAAATCCTAAAAAACAGAGATGGAAATTGTTGAAAGCATTGCAGGATAAAAATTTAATGGCCCCAAGATCAAGTATAAGTAATATAAGTTAGTGTAACTGCTGATCCCCCAAGTCTCCGTTGTGCCTCATATAGAAAATGGCACAGTAACTTCTAAGTCTATGCACTAGAATTCTATCATTCTTGGTCAATTCACATTTTTAATTCTGTTACTCTCTTCATGCAAACTTACCCTTCTTTTCCCCAGGTTTCTATAGTAAGTTCTGAAGAGGGAACACAAATGTTGGCATGTGATATGTATTCCAACCTTGTCTCTTTCTGGTTTATCTATTTCTGCTTAGATTCCTTGCGGTTTCTACTTGCCCCAACTTGTCTCAAGTGTGTCCCTTTGGGCAGTCATAGAAGGCACAGAGGCACAGAGAGGGGCCAACCTTTGCTATTTCTTCTAAAGTTTCATATTCTGCTTCAGGTTCTCCTTCTGGTCTGCAGGGTCTCTCAGCTCACTTCTGTGATTCTTCACATGAGCCTCAGAAGAATTGGTTGCTATTTTTAGTATTTGGAGGCTACAGGTGGATGCAGAGCAGGCATCTCCATGTTCTCTCTCTCATTCCTTGCAGCCCTTTCTGCTCTATTGATTTCACATTAGTGCTACTCAAGAGACACTGCCAAAGTTTCTGACTGCATAGTTACTGATACAACTGGAAAGGCATAGGTACTTTTTGTAGTGAAATTCACCAGCAATCAACACTTGCTGTAGGAGCAATCAACACTTGCTTCTTATCCAACTGCTTACTTACAGTTCATAGAACCTATTCCTAATTGTATGGAGCAGGAAAGAGGGTAAAAACTAGGCATTTGTGATCCTGTATCCTTTCTAATATTTCCCAATTGTAACTGGTTCAAGACTTTTAATCTTGGAAGTCAAGAATTGAAATATTTGTTTATTTCCCCATACTAATGATATAAAAGCAATAAATGTCCTTGTACTTTGTTACATGAAAAAGTAAGAGAGGTATTTGATAGATATGGAGAGAAAGAATAATCTATTTACTACTTAGACTCCTGCCTCTGTCAGAGGATTTAATTGCTAAATTTTATGTGACACAGCAGAACAAGGATAGTCCTATCTTACAGTGTTTATTATACTCAAACAGAAACCAAGTAATTGTTCTTTCAACTTTGTCCCTTATCAGATTGAAACAAGTTCAAGGGCAAGCCTGCATCGATTCCTTTTACTTTGGGAGGAGGATGAGAAATAATTTTTATTTAAAATAGAATGTATTTACTGAGAATATCATTATACAAACATGTATAGTCAGATGATTATAGAATTAATCAAGCAACCTATGCAACCACCACCCTAACAAGGTTTGAATAATGCAAGCCCATGGGAGGCCCTGATGTCACATTGAGTCCCCTGATTATAAACACTTCCTTCACTTTATAGGCCAATTATTTCTCTTGATTTTTAAAATAATTTTAACTCAATACACAGGAATTTAGTTTTGTGATTTTAAACTTTATATAAAAGAAGTCATTCTATATGTTTTGTGCCTTTCTTCTTATGTTCAAATTGATGTTCTTAACTGTTTTGTATAGCTGCATTCATTCATCTGTGTTGACTATGGAGTTTCAATTTACATGAACACATCATATTTTGTTTTTCTCCTACTCTATTCTTGGACTTGTATTGCATTTCCAGTATGAAGTTATTTTGAGCAATGCTGCTACAAATGTTCCCATACAGGTGCCCTGGTGCAGGTAAGCACATGTTTCTCTAGAACGAATATCTAGTGCCAAATTTCCTGGGTCATAGAATATACAGATCATCAGCACTACAAGATAATGCCAAGTGAATTTTTATGAAGTTGTAAACCTTTGGACTCCCAACAGCATTGTATGATCGCTTCTATAACTCCAACATCTCTTGTTATTTGCCAGATTTTTAAATTTTTGTCAATCTGGTAGGGTACAGTTATTATTAATTTTGGCTTTCATTTGCAATTTTCTGATTACTAAGGAGGCCAAGTTCACTTTTATATGTTTATTGGCCATTGACTTCAATCTTTGATGAAATCTCTATTCAATTTTGTTTTCTTTTTCCTTTCTTCCATTCTTTTTGTCTCTTTTTCTTAATGGATTGTAAAATGTTTACAAATGTTGGTACAGGTCCTTTTGCAATGTAGACATATTGCTAATCTTACTTGCATTTTCATGTTCTTGTAGTGTCTTAAGATGATAAAATTTTAAATTATAATTATGGCCAAATATATTCCTTTTCCTTTCTACAGTTAGTGTTTTTTATAGTTTGCTTCCTGAGATTATGAGGATAGTCTCAAATCCCCATATTTTCTATTTGACCTAAGTAAAACCTTTTTATGTGTATGTGAGGTACTTGATCAATTTAATTTTTTTCATACAAATACCAATTCTTTCAGAAGTATGTTTTTAAAGTCTGTGTCTTTGCTATCGCTCTGCAATGCCACATTTGTAATTGTGTGTGTGTGCGCGCACACGCATGTATTTACGTGTATGAAGACACCTGGCTTATTTCTGCCCATTTACCTGCTACCTTCTAAGAGAATTTACTTATATTAATCATCAGTTAATACAAGAAGTTAGCTTCATGCAAAGCTTAGCCCTTTGCTTCCTCCTTGCATTTGGGCGTTGATCTCCCCGCAAAACTGTACATTCTACCCTGCTCTTCAGACCATTAAATTTTACAGAGGTAGGTTCCATATTTGTAATAGGAGCCGTGTTAGTTGTATAATGCTATTTAATTAAATCTATTTAAATCTTGGGGATCAATTTTATGAGGTACACTGTTGATGGACACCCAAGTCTTATTTTCAGAGGAGCTCTATCTGTATAGTATAACTTTTTAATGACCTCTATCTCCTTGTTTTCTTCATGATCTCTCAATTGCTTCTAAACTTATGCAGAGAACAGTATGTCCATTTATTAGGACTACATATAATATAGTTTCACTGATATGTATTATCAGTGTTAATATATCTTAGTGTCTCTTTCAGCAAGACTTTCATAATGACAGAAACTATGGGTTCCCATATAAAAGAATATCAGACCAAGAAAGCCAAGAGAGAAAAGAAAAATAGGTACCTGTTTCAGAAACTCATCCAATTTACTATGTAAGCTTTGCTTCATTCCTTTCCCAATTATGTTCAATGTCTTTAACTGTCTAGACAGTCAAAAGGAACTACATATATTCAGCAATTGCTCAGACGATTTTGACTGAAAGGGGAAAAGATGTTATGCTAAGAATGTAACAGGGATTTGCTGGAACAAATGAATACTCAGGTTTGAGCTCTAAGTTGTCAGAGGAATGAGTTTTTATCTTTAAGGAAGTGTAGTATCCTTCAGAAAAGCTTCACACCAAATGGATTGGAGAAGACCTTAGTGAACTCAGAGCCATTAAAGACATGCTGATCCATAACAGTTTCAATGAATGCAAGTAAAATTGAAAGGTCCTGAAAGTAAAATTGGAAAGAATAGCATCAGGTCATGGTCTAGGGTAATGTGATGCTAATTAGGAAGTATGTAAGAGGGCTTCATCATGCAGAGTTTTAAAGTTAGGGCATTTTATGACAGCAACACCACCAGTGATGATAAGAAGTATAAAAGTTGACAAATACTAAATTTTTGTGGGATAGGAGGACTTTTCTTTATTAAATCTTACCTTAGGCACCCTTGGAATTCTTAAATACTGCAGAAACTATTGAAGAGGTAGCAAATTCTGTTTCTAGACAATTCAGCAAACTGTCCACCTTCCAATAGCAAGCTCTTCTGACTCTCATTCATCTTCCATATTTTTCTTATCAAATATATACTTACCCAAATGTTGCATGCGTTCAATGCTTTTCATTATGACAAAGCATACATCAATTCTATAATTAATAGTGATGCTTTTGGGTGCATAGTGTAGAAGTTATGGGTGGTGGAATATATAATGAAGTTGTAGACACAAAATACCTACCTGTGGCATAGACAGTGAAACCTGAGTGCTGTAGGTAATCGAGTTCCAACAAAGGGATTACGTTAGTTTATTAGGTTACTAATACAAAATACCTTAACCTGAGTGACTTATAAATAGAAACTATTGATTTTTTTTTTTTTTTTTTTTGAAGTTCGAAATCTGGGAAGTCCAGAATCATGGCACTGGCAGATTTGGTGTCTTATGAGGACCCACTTCCTGGTTCACAGACTATCTTCGTGCTGTGTCTTTGCATCATGGAAGGGGTAAATAAGCTTCCCTGGGCCCATTTCATAAGAATAGTAATCCAATATATGAAGGCTCCACTCTTATGACCTAAAGACCTCCTCAAAGAGTCCATCTCCTAATAGCATTGCCTTGGGTTTAAAATTTCAGCTTACAAATTTTCAGGAAACAAACACTCAGCTCACAGAAGATACCATTTTCCTTATTTCTTTCTAACTTATATCCATGCCACAAGTACTGATCGCCCTCCCAAGGAAAGATGAGTCTGTCTTTTTCATGAATGAACACATCTGTATCCTATTGATAAGGCACTATTCCAAAATACCAAATAAAACTCCAGGTATTTTTGAAGTAAAGACAAAGGATTTATTCTGGCCAGGGCCAAAGGAGCAGAAAACAGCCAGTTCTGTAGCCCAAGACACTGAACACAGATGAAGGGACCACTTAAAAAAAGAAAAACCACAAAGAAGAGGCAAGTAAAATCACAAGAAACGTTTCATAAAGCATCACTAAGTTCTCAGAATTGGCACCTCCCGTACCTACTCAGGAAGTAAGCCAGGACCAGCTCCATAGTTTAAACACATTGTGGTCAGGATGCAAGTAGGTGAGGGTGAGGATGTCAGCTTCTATGTGACGGCTCATGCAGAAAGCGGGGACAATTCTGCACAGGGTGAGATGTCTGAACAGAATGGGATCAACCCCATTTAACTTTCAAATCAGCACATAACACTATTGCCAGTCATATCTCCCAAACCATTCATGGGCAATATCTATAGTTTGATTAAGATCAAAGAATTGAAAATGGACTCCTGCAGTTATGGAGTCTTTTGGAGAACTAGCCTTCTGCTGGATTTTCTCACGTTCCTTTTCTGTTCATAGTTGTTAAGCTACATTTTTCAAACTCCCTTTCCTTATGGCTTATCAGAGTCTAGATTAAAGAGAAGAATCAGAATACTTGACAGTAGAATACTAGAGAGTAGGAGTATGATAGATTGTCTTGTCTCTCTGCCTTGAGCAATATCCTTGATAGGGACTGTGTTCCCCGCTGGGACTCAATTGTTCTCACCAAGCTACTTGTTCTTTGTGGTTTCTATTCCAACAAGGCAGCTCCCACCTTGCATCTACCTTCTGACTCCGGTTTCTATACTTAAGTGACACAGCCTCCTTACTACCCACCTCAAGACTTCTAGCTGCAACTAATCTATGGCTTGGCTTCCTCTGTTTAGCTTCAGAGCTCTTCCAACACATGTGTAACTAATCCCCTGCATTACATTCCCTCTCTGTGAAATACCTAAAGTTGTTCCTACTTTTTTCAGTAAACCCAGAGTGAAATATTCAATGATCAGAATAAAAGACAAGACATAAGGTTGGGTAACATGGTGGAAAAATAAGTCAAGTGAACAGAAGAAACATCATTTAAAATTATTTTCTAATGTGGGAAGAGGAAAAGCATAACTAGCTAGATGATCAGTTAGAAATTAACTCTTAGGTAAGTGCTAATTCCACCTCGGCCTTATAGAAACTTTGGCAAATCACTTCATCTCTCTATGCTTTAGTTGATTCCATTAGGAAAATTGTGTTAAAAATAGTAACCATTGTCATAGACTCATTGTGAACATTAAGGAAATTTTTGGCAATGCCTTTTCATAGCAAGTCACTGATAAATGTTATTTATAATAAGTCCTCTAGATAATTTGTGAATTGGTGATACTTAGAATTGTCTTGGCCATTTTGGGTTATTTTAGCTATGTGTACACATAAAAGTCATTTTCTTAAGTACAGAGTCTCTTCTAAATAAATGGATGGATAGAGTAATGGATCAATAAATGAAAATAATGTGTGGATGAATAGAAAATGCATAAAAATGAATGAACGAATGCATGCCTAAAACTGTCACATTAAAAGCTGAATAAATAAATGTATTCTATAACCACAAAAACCATATTAGAAAACCAAGTAGTTCTTAAGTTCACTCTTTTTATCTTTATATTCAGAAGAAAGACTGGAGAGGAGACAATGCATCCAATTTTTTCATACCTTCCTTGAGTATTTAAACTTTTACTCTATTTTTTCTCTAGTTATTCTTCTCAAAGATATATGCTCTAACATCACTGATACCATTCTATTACAGGCTTTAGAGCCTTATAAACCAAAAGGACAGTGGCCTAGATAGGAAGAAAGTACTGTGAAGGACCCTAACCTGAAAGGCTCTTGGCCAGTGTTGCCTCTGGCATCACCTGTTCTTGTTCCCCAGTAACACTGCTTATTCTCTAAGTGTGCTTGATTGACCACTCTGTAAGCATCTTGGCTCCTTTATTCCAGAAGACCTAAAGTTAAGTTCCAGAGTTCTCTCAGTGGTGAGGACTGAACCCAGGGCCTTGTGCATGTTAGGCAAGCACTCTACTTCTGAGCTGTATCGCAAGCCCTGAAGTTCTAGAGTTCTTAACTCCTCTATTTCAGATGCCAATGGGCCTAAGAAATTGTTTTTGTACCAATGCTTTACTTAAAAAATCCACACTGATATATATTTTCCTACTTTTAAATCCAAAACTGGGTTACCAAAACACTGTCCTTGCTTGTTATCTAACAGTTTCATATTTGGACACATAAGACTCTTCAGGGCCCTCTGCCTCCTTCTTCAAGTTGTTTACCATTTCCCCTTCCTACTATTTCACAATGTTATCAGTATGTAAGAATGACAGGATCTACATACAGATGCCACACTGTATCACTCCTCTATGAATTTGCTTTGGCTGTTCCCATCTCCTGGTACATTATTCTTCACAGTCTTTCATCTCAATGCAAAGCTCTCCCAAGGTTCCCCTTGACAATTTTTTCCCCAAAGGGCTAGATGGTCTTCCTTTATACTCCTTGAGCATTTTATGTTGACTTTTGTCACAACTCTTAGAACTTTCCCTTAAATTCATGGTTCATAACCCCTTAATAAATTTAAAACTCTTCAAGTACAAGGCCACTATTACTTCATTCTTTTCCTTCCTTGACTAACAAACAGTGGGCACTTAATAAATGCTTTTCACCTGATACCAGTTCAAAATAACAAAGAATTTAGACATAGAGTTTCAATCTACATATTCCTCATATAATCTAAATAATTAAAGCAATTGTTTTTGTTCTGAATTATCTAGGTAATTGTATATGGAGAAGATAATTGCAGCACCTCATACCTGCTGTTTTAATATCATGAGTTGTTTCCACTCTCTAAAAACAATACAATAATGTCTACATTTTGTGTATAATACCCTTGATGGTGCCCTTGCCTGTAATGGAAGAGGATAATAATTTGTTGATTATTGCTGTAAAAATGAGTAGAATCTCTGTGGGCTAGCTCAAGAATCACCTGTTCTGGTCACCTACTTGATCCCCTTAAGTGGGGCTTCTTTTTGAACACCTGAGTTTTGACTTTTAATTTCCCTTTGAACTGTGGTTCAGTTTTTGGCTCCTTAGAAATACAGGATGATTAAGCTTGATTGGACAATTGCAAAAGTGACTGCCTGACAGCCTTCATGAACGTGAATGACTGGTGCAAATTGAGTATAAGCTTGGTGAAGCCACTGAAGAAGCGAAAATTTGAGCCAACCCGCTCAAAGCCTTCTGTATCATTTAAAAAGTACATTTGTCTTTTAACGTTATAAAAGTGCCACAAGACGTACAGTTGACTCACAAATTAACTCCATTTCTTAACTTTACCTAGGAATGGGATACCCTGCATTTACCTTTCAAGGAGAAATGTTTCTTCCTTTGCAGGGTTTCCAAGGAAAATGATACCCAGCCTTTTGTGTAGCCTAATATGTATCAGTCCAAATGACCGCAAATTACCTAATAGAACTTAACTATTGTATTTTGGGTCCGTGTCCAGTAGGTCATCATTTCCATCATGAATGACCTGCTTGCCACCATGTGTGTATGATTCACTTTGTATCATCCTTCTTCTTGTCTTCACAGCCTGAAGGCAGAATGTGAAGGCTGAACAGCTATGATTTACCCGGTTCTGCATCCATTAAGAATAGTGTGTTGAAGTTGCTCATTCATCTCCTTAGAGAGCGGGGAAAAGGATGCACTGTGCATTTGGATAATGGTTCATATGTTTCAAGCTCTGAAGAGGGGCATGGTTCAATCCCTAGTCAGCTCTTGGCATAACTTCCTAAGAGAATGAGGTAAGAGGGCAGGGCAGTAGAAGGGGTAATATGAGAACAAGTATCAAAGGTGACTGTTCTAACAACAAACATTCACTGAGCATCAGCAACATGTATTACTTTATAAAGTAATTCTTAATCCTATGAAAGCCTCTCAAGCTCTGTAGTCTTGCTCCCCCCCTTTTCTCATTTATAGGAAACTGGCATTTAGAAAAGCTAGTAACTTGTTCATAGTCAATCCAACTAAGTGTCATGGAACTGGGATTTAAACCCAGGTCTGTCTGACTCTAAGATTCTTGTTCCTTCCACTTTATTGTGTGTCCACCAGATACAATTTTGTTGTCATTCTTCTCCAACTTGCCACCTTGCTCTCATCTCTCCGGAGCAGGTGGCTTTCTTCATGTTTCACTTGGTGTCAAACTCATGTTGTGTGCCAGCACTGTCATGGTCCAAACTCTCTCATTTCATATATCTACATCAAAACTTAAGTCTTTGAACCCAGCACCAGCAAAAATTCAAATCTCAGCCAGGTGTAGTGGTGTACATCTGTAATCCTATGGCTCGGGAGGCTGAGGCAGGAGGATTGTGAGTTCAAAGCCAGCCTCAGCAAAAGTGAGGCGCTAAGCAACTCCGTGAGATCCTGTCTCTATATAAAATAAAAAATACTGCTGGGATGTGGCACATGGTCAAGTGTCCCTGAGTTCAGTCACCAGTAGCCACCGTACCCCCCCCCCCCGAAAAAAATTCAAATCTCAATTGGTGCCATTTATTTCTTTGTCTTTGCTGACCCCAACCTCTTGTAAACCTACTCACTGTCTCCTGACCATCCTGTCTGATCCTCATGAATTCTGAGCTAGTCTAGTTCCACCCACACTCAGGCAATCAACAAGTCGCTGATCATATCCTCCCTTCTAGAGATCTTTCAAAGTAGTTCACAGGGGCTCTGCCCTAAACATTGGCAAAATTCACCCCTAGTCTTTGGAGTTGCTTTTCCCAGCAATGTTTCTTTATCAGTTTGGTGCATTTCCTCATTTGTAAAGTAATGTATCTCTCATCTGAATGCCTGCAAGCTTCTTTCCCTATTCATTCCTATGATTCTAAGTAGCATTGTCCATTGTCCAAAACAGATGTCCAGTGAAATAACCATTTAGTACCTAACATAAATACAAGTTCATAAATGACTGAGAGAACAAACATGAACCATAGACTATTTTGTGTGTGTGTGTGTGTTTTCCACAAAAGAGAGTTCTTTGAACAAGATGTGTGTAGGTACTTAGGGGAAAGTTCTTAGTTCATGCACCACATATCCCACTATGTTTTGTTTGTTTGTTTGTTTGTTTTGTTTTTTGTACTCCACACTCAATCCACAAACTTCTATTAACTTTGGAGTCACTGTGTGCTGTTTCTCAGTTTTATTATTGTGTATCATGTGGATAGTTCACAAAGGCCAGTCAGACCTTTTTTTCTTGGTCTTAGTTCCTCAGCTCCACCCTTAAATTTTGTATTTTTCACAATACATCATTTTTTGGTGTTCCAAGCTGTGGACATTTTTAGTAGTTTTTCCCATTGTGGAGCGAGAGTGATTTCTCATATTTTCTAAGATTGCTATGTAAAGTGACTAGAAAGATAAATCTCCGCACTGAAATGCAGTGTGATTGAACCATCTAGATCCACAGTAGAGAGGCAGATGATGAACAAGCTTCTGCCAGGCACTGGACAGCTGGATGCATTTCACAGCTCACAGTGCAACCCTGCTCATGAGAACAAATGAAGACTCACAGGTCTGTGAGAAAGCAGCAGTGGGATGGTTGCAGACAGCTGGATGTAATTACCCACCTCACCCAGAATGTGAAAGTGAAAATTAACAGCTGTTGAATCATGGGGTGAGAGTGCCCTTCTAGCCGTGCATGGGCTAGGCACATACTATTTCATCAAATGCAACACAGCAAAGTCCTACGGAGAATCACAGTAAAAATGGCAGTCCTACAAGAAGCAGCATGAATCTTAGGTCCTGTAAAACTCAGTCCCAACCACTCAGTCTGACATATAGAGCTGCCCTCCTCTTGTGAGGATCCCACTCTCAATATCAGTTCTCTTTTCTAGCTTAGTTCTTCCTTTTCTGTGTGTGCTTATTTCCAGGAAAATCTTCCTGTTAGTAGGCAACCTCACATCTTCCTTTCTAAATCTTTACAGGCTACTCCATATAGCATTAGCTTTAGAATCACAAATTCACTTCTCACAGCTGTGTGTTACAAGGCAAGAGCACAGCCTCATTTCCTCATCAGTAAAATTTTTATTATCACCTCCAATTTTTAGGAGTAAGTATGAAATGAGAACTTGTGAAGTGCTTAGTACAGTCTCTGGTGGGTAGATTAGTTCTTTACTAGTTCTTTTCTATGAGCCTCGAGGACAGAGTCCTGGTGAGATGCCTATTGGATAATAAGTTGTAGATTAATAGGAGTTGTTGGCTTATGATCCACTTCTTGAACTAAAAATGACCACATTTCTTCAGAATGGGTCCTTTGAAACTGTCTTTTAATGAAATGGAGGAGGAATGAGTAAATCTGTATAATAAACTATAATGATTATAATTTAATGAATTTAATTGCACCATCAAGAGATAACAATTGATATGATACAGTGCTATCACATATGCAAGGAGGATTGTTCTTTTCTTACTGTTAAAGGGGAGATTTGTGGCACATATGCATACACAGGGATAAAAGAACACCAGTCTCAAGCTTTATTTGGAATACTGTCGAGTCTGAGAAAAATCTGAATTTGACTTTCAGAAATGAATTCATGAAGCTCTATATGTCTGAAATTCCAGATAAATATATGACTGATATATTTCTGTAATATGGCCAGAAGTCTTCGGGGAGGGGAGAAAGGAGCTATTAATGCAACTTTCTGCTTCTGAATTTTTGCACTGTGCTGGTGGTACACTAAGTGGACACCAAGTGCTATTGACCAGCATAAGATGAAATGGCAATGACATCATCACTTACTTCTTAATATTTACTATTTAACACCATCCCAGAATTTTCTTGTATAAAATAAAATGGTAATGACCTCATCACTTGCTTCTTAATATTTACAATTCTCTTTTCAGCACCATCCAGGGCATTTTCTGTCATTAAATGAACTGACAATGACCTCATTACTTGCTTCCTAATATTTACAATTCTCTCTTCAACTCCATCCAGGGTTTTCACTCTTTAAGGCCTTAAATTCAAATTTCTCTAGTAAAAATTAATTCTATAGTGTAGAGGTTCTAGTCAATGTATCTTTTTGTACACTTTAGATAGACGTATATAAAATTATACAGCCATGTGTCTGCTCTAGGTCAAGAGTGAGGCTTGTAGTGAAAGTGAATCATTAATCAATACAATGTGGGTGAATTAAGATTTTTTTTAGCTGTTATGACCAATCCAGATATAGTCAGAGGACTTTTGGCCCCTGAAAACTTATGTCCACATCCTAATGCTGAGAATCTTTGAATGTTACCTTATTTGAAAAAAGAAAACAAAAAGATCTTTGCAGATATAATTGTGTTAAAGTTCATGAAGTGAGTATGTAATTCTGGGTTAGTGAACAGTCCTTAAATCCAATGATAGATATCCTACAAGAGGCACACACATAAGAGAAAAAGACATTCTATCCAGAGTGGCAGAGATTGAAGGGATGTGGCCACAAGTCAAAAACCACCTGAAGCCCTCTAAAGCTGGAAGAGGTAAGGAAGGAAATCTCCCCTAGATCCCCTAGAGGCAGCACAGCCCAGCTGGCTGCTAGATTTCATACTTCTAGATCCTACCACTGTGAGAGAACACATTTCTATTGTTTGAACGAACCAAGTGTATGATAATTTGTTATAGGAGTCACAGAAAACAAATGCACGTGGCTAATTTTAATTCTGACATTCTCCAACAACAAGGATACCTTTTCACTCTGTTCAATAACAACATTTTTAGGTCTGCCTCACTTATATTTTTTCTTGGCATTTTTTCTTATCTGCAGACTATAGCAAGACAACCAGCTCTTTCTCACGTGGATGATGGCTACCAAAATGTGTGGTTTGTATTAAGGGGAAGGTTTTCTGTGGCTCCATTTCTTTACATCTGCAAATGATGTTCTGAGGGCCTGCCAACAGGCCCTGTGCTTTTTGTTGTCTCATCCTAACAGGTCCTCCTTAGTCTGCTTTGGTTTATCTGCTTATAAATCAGTGTGAGGTTGGAGCACAGAAGATCTGGAGCACAGGTTTCTTACTCTTCCATTCAACTGCCATAAAACTTAATCATAATCAACATGCCTATGTGAACTAACCCCATATTCATTGCCTGAGCAATGAACAGCTCAATCTTAAGCCTTAGGAATGAGTACTTTCTCCAAACACACCACTGGGGAAATAGAGATATTTATGGTGAATGATGATGCTTTCAACAGTTAAGCATGATGTTGATGTTGCACTCACTTAAGAAGCAAGGTTTGTCATTCCATGGAATTGAACTATTCAATGGGAATACCAATATTCACACTTTCAGGGACAGAGGCAAAACATATGGAGGAAATTCTTGGATTTACATGCAAATAAATGCTGTATGATTAAAATAAATGAAAAGAGGAGGAGGGTATATATGCAGGCAGAGTAAGGAGAAAGCAATTGATTTACTGACCTATAAAATTTGAAGGAGCATTAGATAACTTACAGGGTTTCCTGTGGCTCTAAAATAGGGGTGTGTGAAAAATTGATCCTGTGGGTACTATCAGTCTACAGACATGTTTTTTATGGTTCAGATTTATTCTATTAAACTTGGATGTGAAATTTAAAACTCATAATATCACACATTAAAATCCAGATTTATGACTTATCTTGAAAAATGGAAAAGTTTGGGAATACTGGGCCCACATTTTCAATGGGCAATAATGAGCTGGCAATCCCCTGAGCCCTCTGAGGTATGTACTCTGGGTCACCTCTTTCTTTCCACTTACTCTAGGGACTCCTCTAAATTACATTGTCCCTTATTATACTTGATACTTTCAAATCTGTTTAAAGCTTTTGTCACTCTGATTTTCTAGCTTAGTGACCCATTCATTCAATGCCATTTTAAAACCTCATACATAAAATCACCTAAGATAAATTCTTCCCTGGGACTGCCTTGTCTGCACAGAATCCTTTCCGCTCTCTCTGCAAACATGATTGAAGACCATACTGCACTATTTTCTATCATTAAACATGTAGTATACCAGATTTGGGTCTGTTTTCTTCAAAATGTCTTCAAGTTTCCTAAGGGGCTGAAGTTACTGTTGGATATTTTTGATAAATGAATGTATTTTATTTTGCATTTAAAAGACATATTCTCACTGCCTTCACCTTCATTTTCAAAATGATAGAGCTAAAATATAACAAAATTGGGGAAATATCATTTATCTTATGAGATTGGCATATCAACTGCCAGTTTCTTCAGGTAAATTTGCATTTTCACATGTTTAAATCTTTCTGATATTTTAGTTTCTAATTATTGCTTTGTCTCAATTATAAATTCCTCTTACCTTAAAAAATTTTTTTATCACCTTCAGATATTAAAAAGTTTCTGAAAAAATTAGGTACATATCATTTTTATAGTAACCTAAATCATTTCTCACCAAAGTTTTACCTTATTTGGTGAAATTTGGGGCGTTGGCTACTACATTCTAGCACTGTTCTAAGAATAGTGTTTGTTGTTACTATTCTAGTTTAATCCAACAGACTCTTATCCTCTTCAGTATTCTATTACCCTGCATTGGTGTTATAAGCCAAGATGATATCACTGTCACAAACTACTGAACTTACTATGATTCAAATGGTCAAAAACTAATTATTTAAATGAGGGCACTACAGAGGGAAAACAAAAGTTACAGATCCAGTTTTTGATGTATTCCTTGACCTTATTTCTGGACATGCCATCTCATGTAGTTTGATTGCTTTGTGATAGCACAGTGCAGAGCTTCAATTTCTAATGGAAAAATGTTGTTCTCATTGATATTTTTCCTAGGTACATAACAGGAGTTTCATGTTTTCAGAAGAGTAAATATAGACTAATTGATATCTTAAAAGGCATAAATATGTGAATGAATGAAAAGGTGAGTAAATAAGTGCTTACTCCTTTAGTAACTTCCCACTGATGTTTTCATTTCCCAGAATGACCAGGGCCTTCACATTACCGTGGCCTGTAATGTCCAGCTCTAGTCAACTCCTGCAACCTCATATCGTTGCTCCTTTACTTAGCCTTCAGTTCTACTCATGACCTTCGCGTACCTAGTGTCTTTCTACTGCAGTCCTTAGCATTTACTTCTTTTGATTGGGAAGATATTCCCACAGCATTGTGCACAGGTGGCTACTCCACATTCTCCATCCCTTCTTGCTTATCACCCCCATTTAGAGATTTTCTTTGATTATTTTGAAGTGAGATTCTCCAGTTCATCTCCATTTTTTTATTCACTTTTTTTCTTCCTAGTATTAATACAGCCTAATATTATATTGCTGAAGTAAATATTTTCTAGTTTACTTCTTTTGCACATTAAGTTACAAATGCCATAAGGATAGTGACCAATTTTGTCTTATTCATCTCTGTATCCGAAGAGCCTGCTACATTGTCACTGACTTAATGATAGAATAAATGGTGAATGAATAATAAAATCGGAAATCAGGTTATCTATGTAGGAATTCCTTTCAATGCCATATTTCATCGTATGCTGGTGTGTGTAAGTCTTAAGAAACAGTTGGTTTTGTAAACTTTTTTATTTTTCCTTAATGTTTGCCCATAAAGACTGAGATTAGGTGATTAAGTGGCTTATTGTTATGCTGCATTTGAAAATGCTGTCCAGTCTTGTAATCTGAATGTTTCACAAAACCATCATGAAGATTTTCATAAAGCAGTAGCACAATTAGAAGGGAGATGGAACACAGAGACAATAACAGATACAATATCTCATCCATGATTGTCTTTAATGTCATCCACTTAGGAGTAGGAAAAGTTATCTTGAAATTGAAATGTGGATATACATTTTGAATTCTTAGAAAGCTGGCATGGGGATAAACAGACCTATTTTTCTATGATTAATTAGTTGTGAACTCTGGGCACAAATCACTTAGCTACACTGAGTGTTGGTTTACTCATCCATAGAAGTATATTTGAGTAGTTAGTCGAATAGCTGTCCAGCTGTGCTTTGTTGAAAGCTATAAGCTGGGGTCAAGTATGTGAAGGAGTCCCAAATGCCCTACCACTATACCCCCAATCTATCCAGAGAAACCTTGCTTTAATTCAGTTTTTATGTTGGAGAGATCAATAAATTTTGATTTTTTTCAATTAGTTCTTAGTACTTAAGAGCATTTGAAATCTGCTAGGGTAGATTGTTTTCAATATCCCGTGGTATTTTTTATAATAAGAAAAATATGAATTCAATATTTAAAGACTTAATTGAAAATTCATTCTATGCAAGGCACTATGTTAAATGCTGTAAGATGATATCCATACACAGTTGGTTTATAGCCTCACCCAGTCTAAGGTTACCATAATACAAGGTAAATGTGTATTAGAAGGACATAACAGTGACATAAGCACAGACACATAAAGTTCAGAAGAGAGGGAACTTAAGATAGTTGTATGTATGTATAAATGCATGTTGCATATGAATATATGTAATATAAATATGCATTGCAGATTGCAAATGAATATTATATATGTCCATGTGCAACTTTTGTATAACAAATATATTATATGTGCACATATATCTGTTCATATGCAACCTAGAAAGAATGAAGCAAATGTGTGTTTAATAGACATGTGTCTAACATAGAACTTTCATCTGCCTTAATAATCTGCTCTCCTGAGTCATAAGCCTTTCCCATAGGAACACTGGGAGGATAGCTGCAATTGCTCATGGATTTTTCATATTTCTTGCCCATATTATGTCAGCATCTTTGTGTTCAAGGTGGTACAGGCAATGGTTGTGGTCCATAAGGAGACAGATTTGTCAAACATTGCTTTGGCTCATTAAATGGACACCAATTTTACATTGCAAATTGTTTCATGGTAGCTAAACATATTGTATCAGGAAATTTACCAGATTTTTATTTATTTGTGTATATTTGTTTTTACTATGCTGGGGATTGAATCCTGTGGAGCTCATACACTAGGTAAATGCTTTACCACTAAATCATATTCCCAGCTCCAAAACTTTTAAAAAGTAACTTTAAAATTTCATGGTAAGAACATATTTCAGGTAGTATCATACTTGCTTAGAACATCTGAATGGGTTCAAAGATTGTTAGTACCTTCTGAAGGTCCATATAATGCTTATCTTTAAATTTCTGTTTTATTCATCTTTTCATTTCTTCAGTATAGCATGTACCTTAAGTATAAAGTACCTTATATATAAAGAGGGGGTGTTCATAAGGTCTTATTATGTTGTGCAGGCTGGTCTCAAACTCATGGGATCAAGGAAGCCTCTCATCTCAGCGCCCTGAGTGATGGGGACTATAAGTATGCAACACCCTTCCTGACTCAATCGTTATTTAAAAAGTGAATCTCATCTATTGTTTTATAGGCATATATACCTTATTAAGAGGAACTGGCAGTGGTTTAAAATGTGCTAGAAATACCAATAACATGTTGTCAACAAGTTGCCCCAGATTAAATTTACCCCATCAGTTCTCAAGTGGAAAGAAGAAAATATTGAGTCTTATGATTGTATTTGTAAAATCAGAGTATTTTAGGATGTTGCTACCAATCCTAATGGAACTGCAATAAAGTAAGAACATACAAATTTAAAAAAAAACTGTTGAGCTTTGAGAATGCCTTGGGGAAAAAAAAAGTGGAAACACTTCTCAAATACACAACAGTATGCAGTCATCATCTATATCAGAGATACATAAAGGTTTTCTGCACAGGAAAACATAATAACAGTTTTGGCTTTGTGAACAAGAAAGTATTTATAGGAACCACCCAACTCTGCCTTTCTATCTCTACAACTGTAGAAAACCTATTAATGGACAGACCTATCTGTGTTCCAAATAGGCAAAGGGTTGGTTTTGACACATGGGTCCATAGTTCCACTATATACAATTCCAGATATATAAAATCACAAACAATTATTGTAAATGTCCTCATTTTACCACCAATATTGGAAGTTCTTTTAATTGGATAGTCATTAATATTTTCAAAAGAATAATCTTCAAATTCTTCACTCCAAGCTTTCATTTAAGGAATTAAATTAAAATAGAAATGTTCTCTAATTTACCACATTATATCAGTCTTTGAAAGATGCAGTATTTCAACTGCTTTTATCATATATAACATGAACTTGATTTCATTAGTGAACTTCATTTTCACAAAAATATTATCTATTGGACAAAAACCAATAATAATATTGATTGAAGATCATAATTTTAAGCTAATAATTATTTTAGGATTTAAATATTTTGAGCATGACTGACATAACAAGGTAAGATGTTTTGATGTTGAAAGGATGAGCAGAAAACCCTTGAACTAACTTAATTCAGAAGAAGATGTGATTTACCTGAAAGTAAAACCAAAGTTTGAATTCTCAGCTCAGTTAAAATGTCATTACATATTTTGTTAATTTTATATAACTCAGTAGCTTCAAGTTTTAAAACTATTGTACTGGCTTATGTGCAAGTATTCATTGTTCTAAAATAACAGAGCACACGAATAGATTTTTTTCAAGTGTCCCCTTTGTCCATATGAAAGGCAATGTGTTTTAGTGTAAAACAGTACTGGACAAGAATTGGGGGCCTTGGTTACCAAACCATGGTAACCATTTACATGCTGTAAATCAACTAACACTGAAAAAGCTGGTTATCAGACTCTCAAGTGCATGTGTATATAATAGAGGGATAATCCTATTCACCTGTACTATGATGATAACTTACATTAATAACTATTAAAGTTGTTTATTAGTTATGAAATTATACATAAAACCAATGCAAAGATATTTTTGCTTTCACTGCTAAAAAAGTAGTTTTAAGCATTGCTGCTTCTAAATTGCAAGTTAACATTTTGTATTTATTTTTTATTTTTATTTTTTATTTTTATTTGCAGAAGGGAGGATAGAGTCCTTTTCTAAATAACTATTGAATTGTGTTTGGAGTCCTTCCCCACTTTAAGGTATCATAATTGCCTTGGGCATGTTTAAGCTGGATGAGTGGGTCTCTAATCCCGTTCAACAGTTTGAAATATGAGTATGATGCAATTGGACTCCACATACATATTTTTGTCAATACATTTCACAGTATACAGTGGATGGGACAATATCACAACAGGCAACTTTATTATTTTTTTTTTTAGAATTTGATCCAAAAATCAATAAAAATAAATAAATAAATGGTGCTGAGTCTCTATTATGTTAGTACACAAAATAAACCAAAAAATACATCAACATTTACCATGAGATCATTTAAATGTGTTTGCAAATGATCTGATAAGGGAAATGTGATTTACAACACCGGGGACTTCTCTTAACAACCATAGACTTAAATGCACTGCACTGTAGGTCACCTAGACTAGGTTAGCAAGAATGAGCAAAGTGGCAGGTCTACGAGGCGACCCCCAAACACCTTCCTCCAATGGAGACTTTGGTAATTGTGGTTTAAAAAAATCAACTCTTATTCTTCATCATGTTGGATGATCATTTTGTCCATTTTTTCTCCTGTGATGAGTCCATTTTAAATACTTCAGTTATTTTGAAGACACTCCAAATCCACTGAACAGCAGACTCTCCCATTCTGTACAAAAAGGACACAAGTGTTAATGTAGGGAGACATGTAAGTCCATCAGCAAGGAGTCCGCGATCTTTATTTAAAAAGGATGCTACAAAAACACTTATGAAGGAATGTAAGGGAAGAAAGCATGGATCAACCCTGCAGGGTCTCCTCTTGCTGGGGTTCTGCTGGCATGGCCACATATGGCCTTACTTACACACTCAATGTATGCTTGACATACTGACCCACCAATCCAAGTTTTCACAAAACTTATTGTCTAGACTTATTCCAAATAAGATTCTTTCCAAAAATAAATCTCTTAATGATGATGACTTGCGTCTTAAAGGGCTAATCAAGCATCACAAGAATCTGAAGACAAATCCAAGATGGGTTCCAGAAAGGCATGCATCTTAGGGATCAATATAATGTCTCATATGATGATTAAGAAGGAGACTGTGCTTATCCAGTTGTATACATTTTTGAGAATTACATTAATAATCAAATTCATGTAATAATCTCAATATGCTTTCATAATTTTGTTTAATAACTCTCAAATATGATATCAAAAAATAATATTAAATAATACAAGTGTTAATGTAGCCTGGTCACTTGGTTTGCTCTGGTGGAGGGTACAAATGGGGCCATAGCTCTCTTGCTATGTGAAGTCTGATATTATCCTTTTCCTACTGGGGCAACATCTTAAGATAATATTTTCCAGGTTAGAAAAAAGAAATACACATTAATAACATTAATCATTAAGGTGCCCCCCAATGGGCACTTTGATAATTAAACAGAATGAACATCATCACAGAATACTGATTTTTTTCTTCCATTGACAGTTTCATGAAGGAACTCATAAAATTTTCCAGCATGAAAGGAAGTAGATATTTTTTTCTTTCTCTCCTCATTTCTTTCATTTTCTTTCTTTCTTTTTCTAACATACAGGTCAAAATAGCATAAAATTGGGCTGAGTCATAAAGTTCTGCAATTTAAAATCAAGCCAGACTGTTTTATTCTACATTGTTCATTTGGAACTAGCCTTTATACAAGGTGCAGCTATGATCCATTCAGATACATGAACATCCTGTGGGATGTAAAGGCCTGTTTCCACAATGCTCCATGGAACCTACACACTCAGAAACCAGAGTAAACCTCCTGCAGATGTTCTGATAAACTGTTGAAGCCTGAATATTTCAGGGAACCCAATTACCTTGCATTTACAGGTTGTGCAGGGAGATCCGGCCATTGTCCATACTGCACCACTGAGTCTAGAAACACCGTAGCTGTCCAGGCAAGTTTTCCTGATATCATAGGCAATGTTATCAGCCAGGCAGGGGTCACTGACACAGCGGGGACAGCACTCCCCTTCCAACATGGCTGTGTATTCACAGCTCAAATTGGGGCAAGCGAGTGGCCAGCAATCTACCTCTCCTTCCTGTGGAGAGAAAGCCAAGAATGACGCATCATTGTTCCTAGGCACAATTTTATCCCAAAGTCCTATGAGGGGAAAGAGAGCACAGTGATTTTCACCATTCTCGTCATTGAAAGTCACTGTTAGCACACTTGTGGGTTTCCCTCTTAAAGACAATTACAGTTATCAACCTTCTTCAGGATGCCCTTGCTGATGGTCTTTGCTCTTTCTGTGGTCTATAGAAAGAGTTAGGTCAGCTTCTCTGTGTGTCAAACACAGCCCATCATTATTTTTAGTTTGATACTATGATTATATCATAATCATCAGTACTGTTTCTCATTAAGTTTTGAAATTTCAGGATTTGGGCTAGTTTCTTTTTCTTCCTTATACTTAGCACACTTTTGGTGAAGAAATAATAATAAAATGAATAAATAAATATGGTGGTAAGAGATACTAATTTCACTTAAGGTCAAAAATAGAACATGAAATATAATATTCCAACAACTTCATAAACTGATTTTGTTATGGTTTAGATATGAGGTATCCCCCAAAGCTCATGTGTGAGACAATGCGAGAAAGTTTAGAGGTGAAATGATTGTGTTATCACAGTCTTAACCTAATCAGTGTGTTACCGTGGCAAGAATTAACTGGGTGGTAACTATGGGCAGGTAGGTTATGGCTGGAGGAGGTGGGTCCCTGGAAGCATGCCTTTGGGATATATATTTTGTCGTTGTTGAACAAAGAGTCCCGTCTTTCTCCTTCCGGGTACCAAGTTTTCCTCTGCCACACACTTTTGCCATGATGTTCAGCCTTACCCCAAGTCCTGGGAAATGCATCCAGCTGTCTGTGAGCTGAGACCTCTGAAACCCTGAGCTGACCAAATTAACTTTTCCTTCTTAAAATTGTTCTTGTCAAGTCTTTTAGTCACAACAATAAAACAGCTGACTAAAATATTGCCAGTAACAAATTTAAAGTTGAAGTTGGGCATTTTCAGAAGAACCATTTCAAAAAAGTTTTCAGTTTCATTCAAAAAACTATATTTCAGTTTAAATGGAATTTCTATCTATGTGTCTCAGCATCTGCCAACTGGGACTCCATTGAGCTCCTTGTAATAGAACTGCTTCTCTCTGCAGCCTCTTTTTCTGTTATCATGACACTTATTATAACACATGGTAACTAATTATTCAGTCAGCTTTACAAGACTCCAGGCTTTTACAGATAGAGATCATTTTTGTTTCACTCACTATTATCCAGAGTCTGACACAGGCAAAGTCCTGATAAATATTTATTAAATATGACCCACATAATTTTCAAGTAATTTTTAAGTTAATGTTCAACACCTTCTGTTTTATTGAGACTGGGGACAGAATATATGTTTTGAAATTCTATATGTGAAAATTCCATATAAAAAATTAATACCAATTCTTCTGGCTACCCAATTATTGGCTTCTAGAAAAAGACATGCAGTATCCCAGACTGGTATGGAAGCCAATCTTATAGTCATATTGGATATGTTCATCCTTAGATGAGGATTTGGAAAAAAAATATTTGCTGCAATTTTAATTTCTTTTTTTAAAATTTTTTTCTTAGTTGTAGTTGGACACAATACCTTTATTTTATGTATTTATTTTTATGTGGTTCTGAGTATCGAACCCAGCACTTTGCATGTGCTAGGTGAGCACTGTACTGATGAGCCACAACCCCAGCCACTGCAATTTGAATTTCTCAGTTATAATCCTCAAAATTAAAGGACTAATATAGTCCTAATACAAGGATTATGTTATTAAGATTATCTGCACATTTTGCCTGGAGACTTCAGAAAATTTGATGGAAACTTAAAGTATGGTTTTTTTCTGAATGTGTGTTTCTGTAGAGTACTCGTATAGTACACATATAGCATTGATACTTCAACAGATGTTAAAACTCCAGCTAAGAGTGTCCATTTCAAGTTGACTCATGCAGAATTATCCATAGTTGTAAACCTACCCACAGATAAAACACCACATTCATGGCAAAAAAAAAAATATGTCCTAAAAGCCTTCCTATCCTTGGAAATCATGGTTTGTGGTATACTTTGAAACAGAATGAATCAGGTCCAGATATCAAGCCTTTTCTCTGGACTTCTGAAACTTCATTATACTATTAATGTCCTTATATTAATATCTAAGGCAACCTCCATTTGTCTACATGGATGTTCGGCCTCTGAAACTGATTTTTGAAGGTAGGAAATAACTAACAATGTAGCAACCATGTTAAGTGCTGTCTATGTGTCAAGTATGTTATTTGTCCTTCACATACCTAAGAGTCCTAAGCAATAGCTATTGATACAACTATGCACATTTCAGGAAAAGAATGATGAGTGAATAGATAGGACCTGCCCAAGGTAATCATACTGAGCTAGCACATGAGAGAATCTGAATTGTATTCTAGGTCGATATCATTCAGTATCTCTGGTATTTCTACTATATTGAGTTACATCTCATGTCAAAACATCCAATGCTTATGGAAGAAGAAATAAAAATTGGGCTCTATAAAGACCATAAGTATCAGAAAATGCTTTGAAAATTATCTATTGTGCAGGGATTTTTCTGGATACGGACTTCCTAAGAAATAACACCTGTAAACTAACATTATGTAAAACTAACATTGCTTGGGTCAAATCTGTTCTATAAATATGTTGTTTTTGTTCTGCATAGTGTTTTACATACAGTCTGAATGCCTTTAGGCACAGCATATGCCCCTTGGTTAGGCATACCCCAAAATTCCCTCCAAGGTAAGGGAAGGAGTTGGGAACCAGCCAAATTTATAACCCCTGAGTTTATAAACTCTTCCAAAGTACAGGATGTCACCATCTACAGCAAGCTGACATACCAGACACCGACACTGCTGGCAGCTGTGGGTCCAATTGTCTCCACTTCGATACAGCTTATGTCCATTTTGATCTAAACATTGACTTGTGACTCTGGTGTCGCACTCTGGGCAACAGAAAAGGTCAACGCTTGGATTCTGGCAATCACAAGCTGTCCGTCGGCAGAATATCTTCCCGTCCTGTTTAGAAATGAGGTTAAGGAGGTTTCATCATTAGGGAAATGATGGGAAAGCAACATTATAGAAACCTAACCTTCTAAATGCTTTACAGAGCTGACAGAAAAGATTTCCTCAAGTCATTGCCATCCCCAGCCACCTCCCTTTTGTTCAAAACAGATGGATGTTTACGTGCCCTTGCAAATACCCTGTTTTTTCCCCCCCTTTTCTGAGGAGTCACCCAAGGCAAATAGGGACACTGCTAAGTTTAAAAAGAAGTCAATATGTTCTTTGAAAATTATTTTTTTCCTTAATGTTTTCTTAAAAATCATATTTCTGAATAAGAATTACAGCTAAACAAAGCAGTTCATAACACTTACCTGGTCAAGAACTCATTTGAGTGGAAAATCATGCTACTGCTTTTCTCACCTAACATATTCAAATTTTATCTAATTTTATCCCAGTTCCAACTCTACTAGGAAATCTTATTGTGCCTTTTGTAAAGAAGAATTAACTGAGGCCCAGAAGGCTAAATTCCTAATCCAAGGTCACAGAGAGTGGCACCTCAAAAAAGTGTCACAAGGTTCTGTTGTTTTAAAACAAATTTTCTACTGTAAGACAGCCTTTAAGTAGACTATTAGGAAAAAAAATCATAATCACAAAACACTTTCCATTTTGAAGCAGCAGAGTTATAAGCATTAAAGATCAACAACACTTAAACATTAAGACTGAACATTCTATACCATGTCTCATTTCATGTCTGTAAAGTAAGACCTGTGGCCTTATGGTTATATCTTACTTTGTCAAATATTTATAAAACTAAAGAATATCTGGGCTGATAGTTACCTTAAAGCCTTCTCCATAACAACCATATTTAAAATCAAGACTATGATTGAAGTTTTCCTGTCCTGCAGAAGTCATCACTGTGGGAGGCCAAGTGTGCATCTCTGTATCTTAATGTTGATAGTTGGACTCTCTCTCTCTTCCCATGGATCTTGATTAATACCCTTGATAATCATAGAACCCCCAATACCTTCTATCATATTCCAACTCTTCAGTTCTTACAAAATAGTTCTTATATATCCACAGAGCTGTCTCATCTCTGGCTTAAACATCTCCAACTCCTTGACCAGTCCACGCCATGTTCAATTCTTTTGCTCTCACAATTGCCGTCTTCTTCTACACTTTTGAGTATTTTCTATCATCACCATCATCAATCACCTACCATAAAACTGAACACATATCTTCTGCCACACATAAGCTATGTCCTTTATGTGTATTATCACATTTATGTGATAATATGTGGAACAGAAATTCTTGTCTTCATTTCTCAAATAAGGGAGCTGAGAGGGAACTAAACATAAGCCTTCAATAACATGGAGTGAATTGGGATGCATGTCACTTTGTTAAGTGCTGTTCTTTCTTTTCAGCCTGATTTATTGGTTATGTCATAGTGTTGACTTGTATTAAACTTAATTAAGATTAACCCCTCAGTAAGCCCTATCCCATCATGTAAGTTTGGTTGTTTAGGGTCAGCAAATATATTACTTGGTGTTTATCCCTACTGCATTGCACTTTGTTAGATCCATCTCATCTCTTCTTCCTGCCACAATGTTTTTTAAATGTTGTTTCTGTCATACAGCATGAATGCCTTCCTTCACAGCTTAGTGACATCTGCAGACTTGATGGACCTGCCCTCAGGGTCTTCATCTACTTCATAACTAACAATGCTGAATCAGACAGGGCTTCCTAAGATAAATGTAGTGTCAGCTAAAGTGGAAAGCTTTAGAAAGCTTTACATTCTTTATAGAGAATGAAAAGGAGATACTAGCTACATATGTAATGACTTAATAGTTGGAAAAAATGCTTTCGCTCAAATTGTATTATTGGCTATACTATAGAGAATGAAAAGAAGTCACAGTATTCTGAAAATATCAGGAAATGAGAGATAATACACATAGAGATACTTGTGTGTTTGCAAGAATGTATATATATTGAGAGAGAAAGGAGACTCAGAGGTCAGAGAATTCAGGTAGCTTGGACAAAGAGGTATCCAGATTCCAAGAAACTTCTAACAATAGTCTTTTGGCTTACAGCTAAACATTACTTTAATTCACTCCTATACCTTATGAAGTCATGACCCCAAATGATTTCCTGGGAATTCATTTTATCCAACCAAAGCTAAGAAATGTAATGAGCAACAACAAGAAACCATTTTGTCAGCTCCATTGTCTATGGCACTATAAGACTCTTCCCAAGGAGAGAAGGACTAAGCCCCAGGAACCAATATGCCCAAGTCCAAGCCCAGCATCAAATAAGAGGATAAATTCTCTTAGAAGAGTTTACTATACTTTTGGCAAAGGAACCCAATCAGAATGCCAGGTTTCTTGCCATGTGCTGATTAAATAAAAGAGAATAAAAATGAATGGATAGCCTCCAGAGTAAGTGCAAAATAAAGCAATTTCCTATCTTATCAATTATGTGAAAATACCAAATGGGTCCTTCTTAGCTTCTGTGGTGTTTCAGAACAATGGCTGTGTTCACTTTGGCTTTGAATTACAGGGTAGCTGTCAAGAAAAAACATTTTTAATAATGAAAATGTCACAGGTGCCTCCATGAATTCAATGAGAACATGATTAGGACAGCACGGTTCACAGTGCACAACCACACAGGAAACCAAATATGGGAAGGGAATGGAGCCTACCATGGTGAGTCGGCCCTCTTGCCACAGACCACTGGGTCACTTCCCAGAGTTGGACTTCTTTCCCGGCTGCGTTGGACAGATCAATCCCAATTCAAATTCCAAAGATATTATTTCCCCTCTCTTCTGCCTCAGAAGCTAAGTCTTTTCATTCAGTTTTATAGTGAAAGCTCAACTGTAAACTGTAAGTATCATAATATTTATGTACATTTTCTGAATTTTTGAAAACAGGGGCATATCATTTGGTAGAAATTTTAAAAATGATTTATTTTTATTATGTCATGGAAATTATAGATTTTGTATTATAAATCATACATTTTAAATTGTATATTCAACACAGTTGTAGCAATACTCCAGGTTACATGATATGGCAATTTTTTTTCTGCCATTGAGTTCTGAAAACTTTAAATCAAGGAGGTGGACTTAGGTGAAATTATTTAGGTAAACTGAATAAAAATATAAACTGAATGTTGGCAAACTGATGTCCAAGTCCAAATTCAGCCTGTTGCCTGCTTCTGAAAATAGTCTTATGGGAACACAGCTTCCCTCATTCATTGACGTATTGTCTTTGGCTACTTTAGCATTACAATGCAGAACTGAGTATTTGGGACAGAGATTTTATGATCTGCAAAGCTTAAAATATTTACTCCTGTCCTTCAAAAGAAAAAAGTCTGTTGATCTTTGGTATAAACTATAAATTAGGTAAAATTAGGAGTAGTACTCCAAACCTATTTTTATCCCTTCTCACATGAGTCAGGCTGTGCTTTCCAATCTTTTTTTTTTTTTAACCAAGTGTTAATTTTGCCATTAGGTCACAGCACAGTTCACGATTTGGTGTCTTAGTATTTCTTATTAGTTCCTGGGATCAAAACATCCTTGATGATCATTTTAATGAAGCAGGAAACTAGGCCCAGTGAAGGGGAAATGATTTTTCCATGTAGAAATTAATAACAAAATAGAATCTGGCTTTTATAACAATGGTTTTCTACCACTACACATTCTTGTATCTAGAGGATGATGGAGGGTAGCAAAAAATGATTTCAGCTAAAATGAGACCAGAAGGATTCTTGAGGTAATAATTCTCTAAGTACAGTCCCCCAACCAGGAACATTAGTATCCCCTAGGAACTAGTTAGAAGTGCAAATTATCTTGCTCCACCCTAAAACTACTGAACCACAAATTCTTGGGGGAGACGCCAGTGATTGGGGTTTCACAGCCCTTTAGGTGACTGTGGAGTAAGAAAAGTCTCAGAACCATAGAGGAGGGGAACAACCAAACCTGATCAACTGAGAATTTATCATGTCATGACTCTCAGCCTCTTACAATTAAAAGGCGGGATATTTGGAACATTACAATAGGAGAATAAAGTTGGTGAAACAGAAATGGAGATCTTGTATTCTGACTAAACCTCTAGAGATTTGGGAGCTCAATAAAACCTGCCAATATGTTCACCTTTGAAAAAATAAGAAACATGATCTTAAGGGCTGAACATCCAAGTGTTGCCATCAAAAGCACTATAAACAACAAGGTATTGATAATGTTCCTGATCGAGGTCAAAGAGCAAAGTGAAATATCTTTATGAGTAGGTTGCAGGAATCTAATAACTAATTTATTTACCCTGGGCCCAGACACAGACTGACTCATCTCTCATCTTCATAAAATCATGAGTGAGTACAATTAAGATGGAAGGGTCATTTTTTTTGATAGCTCCTTGCAGACCAGTGTCTTCTCTCCTTGTTAGAAAGAGATGCTTGAGTCCTTTAGGTATTGCTAGTATGGTTATCTTCCTCAGTGTCTGAGAAAAAGTTCAAATAAAGTCAGGGGAAAGGGTCATCATAACAGAGAGCCTCATGTCCAAGATTTTCTTCATTTCGCCCTCGTTTTCTGTGCTATCACAGAAATTTGTGATTTTATTAAGACAGATGATTTGCTATTTATGGTATCCCTTTCAATACTCATTTTTATAGTTCCCAGAAAAACTCAAGATTTGGTTCTGCTCTAGTATTTAGGATTTAGTTAGAGAATGAATGTTATTCACTTTAAAAAAATCTAAATAAAAGCAAAGAAATGAAATCTAGCCTTCATAGTTTTATTTCCCCTTTCTTTCACCAGATTTTCTAGTTATTAATGATACCACAGTGGTTCCCCATAATCCATGGAAGATACATTCGAAGACTTCCAGTGGATGTCTGAAACCATGGATAGTTCAAAATCTCATATATGTTGTTCTTACTATACATACATACCTATAGTAAAGTTTAATTTCTAAATTAGTCACTGTAAGAGATTATAATAACAAAACAACATAAAAATATACTGTAATAAAAGTTATAAGAATACAGTCTCTCTTGCTCCCAATATCTTATTGTGATGTACTTATACTTTTTGTGGTGATGTGAGGTGATACTATGCCACAAGATGAGATGATTATATGAAGTAAACAAAAATGGTATTGTAATATAGTCTTAGGCTACAACACAAGATGTTTTGGAACACAAGCACTATAATACCACCAAAGTCTATCTGATAACCATGATGGCTACCAAGAGATTAATGGGCAGGTAGCATATACACCATAGATACCCTGGATGATGGCATAATTCACATCCCAGGCTACACGAAGCAGGATAGTGCAAGCATTCAGCTCTCTACTTGGAACAACAGGCAATTTAAAGTTTATGAACTTTTTATTTCTAGAATTTTCAATTTGATAATTTCGAGCTGTGATTGACTATGGTTAACTAAAAATAGTGAAAGAAATAATAAACAGAGTGGCCTACCACGGTAGTAGGTGTGGATATAACGTGTACATGGAGGAGTAGATGTAATAGAAGCTAACATCAAATGTAAAAATGCCCGACTTACTTTCTCTTAGTGGTACATAGATTCTATTCACCTAGGAAAAAAGCTAAGTCTCAATCCTCTATGAAGATTTTTTTTGCCCCCAAAATAGAGAAGCCATAATAACAGAAGCTCAGTCTCTGACATAATCAGTTATCAAAACACATTATTTCACTTCTGTGTTTTCTCTCATGTGATCTCACTCGTCAGTTCCTCTTTCAGATTTTAACCTTCATTTTCTTGAACCTTTATCTCAGTCTAACTGTGGTTCTTTCTAGTTAGCTCCAAACTCCTCAGGCCATCTATCATGCTGTCAATCAGACCAATAACAAGGCATCCCAATCATAATCCTCTGCTGCCTACAGGATGAAATATTCATGCCCTACTCCATCTCCAGCCTTTATCTCTAGGCTCATGATCAACTATTCCCTTCCCATACTTTGCCCTGTATCCCATAATTTTCTTCTTACATCTAGCATAACATATATTCTTATGCTTCTGCATGTTCACTGTTATGGTTTTTTCTGTTTGGAATTCACTTCTCTCCTGAGCTAAATTTCTCTTTAGGATCCTATTCAGGGTTATCTTCTCTGTGAAGCCTTCCTCTATTTCCTTTTTCATTCTCTCACAATATACCTTTCATTTTCTATATTCCCATAGCAATGACTCAGACTTTAACAGAGTGACAGGTGTTTAATTATATATCCACTTCCTTCTCCATCTCCACGATCCCCAATAAGAACACAAATAGTTATAATAAAATGCTGCATTTCATAGGCACTAATAAACCTAGGACCTTGCTACCTTTCCATGAAACTGAAATAGATATAAATATGACTTCCAAAGGCCCTGGACAAATTTATGAATGGAAAGGCTACATATGGGTACCTATAAAAAGAAGGTGGGCTATAACGGAGGTGTATGTACCAAACCCAGAGACAACTTTTTCACCTGGTTTTCTGTGATCTAGATAATGCTGAAAGAACATGGGTTCCAAGTAGTTTAACCAGTCTCCTGGTGCCCAATGAACTAAGTGACCTAAAGGGACACAAAATCTTGTTACTACTAAGGAAACACAAAGAATCTAAATAAATAAAAGCTCAAATCCATTTTTACTGACCTAGCTTTATCATTGAACTCCATTCACCTGTGGACATGCTTGAAGGCCTTTCTTCCAATTGGTATCAAACAGTACTAACTAACCTGGTGTATTTACTCTGAGAAGGTGGTTGGGATGACCTTTTACAAGAACTCTGACTCTGCTCCTTTCAATAGTGACCCTTGACCTTTGTTAGCTTATGTGATTCTGTGCTGTATGATTTGTTTTAATTTGAATTTAAAGCATCAAGGATAGAACTGAAAAGAGAACACTTTATACCATAACCTTGATTTTATTTCACATCTTCCAAGATGATACCACGATAATTGTCCATTTGGATACTTAAGTACTGGAGATATTTCTTGTAAAATTGGAATGGGACAGTTTGGACTGCAAATGTTAAAAACGAAAAGCAGGGTCACAAATAGTTCATTTTATAAGGATGACTTCTAGAAGTGATTTGAGGTGCTTTATCAGCTCCTAAAATGATGCTCTCTATAAATGGGTAATGAATTCAATTAGAAAATGAAACAACAGCAACAGAAAGATTTATGGAAGGAAATCTTCCTAATACTTTATTCAGAAAAGAGGGAGATGGTGGTGGTAATAGAGGTACATCTTATTAACAAAATAAGATTACAAGGATTGCTCATCTCCTGTGGCAATTTCAGACTAATTCTCATAAGACTTTGGAGATACTTTAGGAGTCGAAATGAAATAAATCAGGCTGCTTGGATTATTAACACAGTTAATTAATGAAGCCCTGGGAAATTTTTAATGATTGGTAGGTTCCTTGCTTTATCATGGACTGAGATGAAACAAAAACTTAAAAGAGAAGTTTGGTCTCTCTCACAGTAGTCAATATACAACTAAAGTCCCTTGCCTATTTCAGGATCTGATGACCTAGAAAATCTTAAAAGGACTTCAGTTCAGGTTGTAACCATCCTCAAAAACTTTGGAAACACAATTCTTTCTCAAAAAATAAATTCATCTCCATTTTGCTGGCTGAACAGGGGCCCTATTGCTAACTTCTTCCATTTACCCTTCACAACTATATTAATCCATAAAGTGCTTTTCTTCCTCTTGAAATCCTTTGTCCTTTGAGTCAGCACTGCATTACTAAATATTATACTAAATAACTAAAACATTTTTGAAAGAATGTCCCAACAGTTGCTAAGATAATGCTGAATTGACAATTTGAGTTCAAATAGATTGGATTGACAGATTGCCTATTTAGTTTAAAAGATAGTAGTGAGTATCATCATAGAGTGTTACAGACATCTGACAATATGGAAGAAACTATCAATGTTGGGGTATGCCAATGGAACACAGGTTCTTATATAAATATTCCATATTTACGACAATTACTTGACTCCCTAGAGACTGTTTCTTCATCTTTCAAAGTTGTGATAAAAGAATAAAACAGGATGCTATTTTTATAACTATAGGATGATTGAAATATAGCATATGCTCAATAAATGCTACGAAAAAATTTGTGTGTGTGGAAATGAAGTGTAAGTTTAAGGAGGGAAACAAGTGTTAGAGGGTACAGACCTGGTAATATAGCTCTACTACATAGGCCACCTCAGGTCTGTTGAGGTGTGGCAGACTTAAATGTAGAAGGATTGATTCTTAAGACTCATTCCAGCTCTGTGTCTAGGGAGTAGAGTAAGAATTTATCAGTAGACCTAACTTTTAAAGAGGCAACTAAGCAAGTAATTTCTCTTGGTTACCATGCCCATAAAGCCCAAGATTAATTAGTCTCATCCGAATAGGCACAGAAATACAAGCAAGAACTACAGTAGAACAATAACAAAGGAAAATAAATATGTGCGATTCACAAAGAAGAAGTAAAGCACAAGAAAATCAAACACTTTAATAGGCCCATTTTGCAAAGCATAAAGTAAAAACCACATGATGACAGAATTTTATTTTCATAAGCGTTAAAACTCCCTTCCAAACAACTTACTGTAAGAAATAGCCCAGCACTGAGAATTATAAAGAAGACATCAATTACTAAGGGGCCACGCACTATCACTGTAATGTGGTTGGAATGGAAGTCCACCTGTCTCTGACCACGAGGGGCAAGTCTGTGAGCCTTGAATTTTGACTGATGTTACCACAAAAATGAGCAGGTTCACACAGAAGATCATTGCAGACAAAGAGTTGTTTTAATCAGCAAGTTTCTGTAAGTGTAAGTGGAGTGCTCATTAAACCTCTCACCCAACAACCTTAAAGGACCTGCAGGCTCTCAGTAGTGGATCAACATTGACTTCCCTGCCCCCTGCTACCCCTTTGTGCAGTCTCTTGTCAATTCCACACCTCACTTTTCACCAAGAGACCAATCAATTCACAGGAGATTTGCCTGCCCTTCAGCATCCTCATTAGTTGTATTGTGGATTAGAACAGGAGAAGCCTTTTCAGGAGCCACAGGAGAGCCACAGGTCAACAGCCAGTGGGAGAGCTGTGAGGAGGCAGAGGTGAAGGGGAAGGTAGAGAACAATGACAATTCTGCTACAGCTCATCAGCCTCACCTTGCAGGAACAGACAGAACACCTGTCTTCTTTCAGGGTCCACACCTGTCCATTGTGCTTCAGCCCTCCCTCATGGGGGCAGTCACCAGAGCACGAGGGTCCAGAGGGACAGAGGCAGTCAAAGCCCCCCGCCAAGTTAATGCAGGCAGAATCATTCCAACAGGTGTGAGTTCTTAAGGCACATTCATCAATGTCTGCAAAAAATAAACCATGGAACTTGAGAATCTAGTCAGGTAGACTCAGAAAATAACAACAATGTGCAATAACATTAACTACAATTATTGAGCATTTACCTGTGCTAGATTGGTAACATGTATTATCTCTTTTACTCTGCAAAGCAGCTCCCTGTGGAAGGATCTGTTCTTGTCCCTATTCTGCAAATAATAGAGCTGAGGTTTTTAGAGTTAAATGATGCATCTGCTGTCATACAGTTAGGAAGTGGCTGGTCTGAGACCCAAACTTACAGGCGCTTGATTCCAATTACCAAAATCTCCAGTAGCAGCTATGAACTGCCTTTAGGATATGCTCAAGAACTCATCTATCCGGTGGCCATAAACACTGTTAATTCATTAGCTGTAGATACACCCCATGGAGACCTAAGTCTTTTAGAAAATGTGTGCATAGATAAGCCACTGAGTAGGAACAAGTGAGCAATTACGGCAACCTGTCCCAATTAGATTGCCCCAAGATCCTGAAGTCAAGGCTAAAAGAAGTGGGAATAATTCTTAGCAGGTGCCTTATCTGATCAAATGCTTTCATTCTAATGGCCAGCTGTACTTGTGCTCCCCTTAAAAAAATATCAGAGCTATAGTAGGGCATGGTATGGATGCTGAAAAAAGACATACATATATGGTGTTGTTTTAACTGAAAGCCAAAGGTTGAAGGAAAACATAAATCCAGTCAGTCCATTCTGACCATTAAAGCTTGAGTGACCCTAACATCATCTCAGCCACGTACATACCTGTCCAGCCCTGGCTTGTACTGCTTCCAAGCAGTCAATACATAACCTCACAAGGCAGAAGATTCCCCTTTTGAAGACTTAAGAAAAAAAAAAGAAATGTCTTCCTTCATTTGAGATAAAATAGATTACCCAGTAACTTCTACTCGTTGAAGTTACAGAAGTACCCAAGGTGACTATTGATAAAATACTAATTGCTGGACTTGATACCTGTAGACTGGTGGAATATTACAATAATAACTTATTCTACATCCTAAAGTTTATCTTCAATTATGTGTAAAGTTATAAGCATTTTGTTAAGGATAATGGAACAGAACTTAAAAAAAAAATCAGTAGTGGTATGTTCCACAAAAGTTCAGAGCCGTTTCTGGAATAATATCAATTTTACCAGAATTACGATACATATATATGTCTATACATACACACAATAACATAAAACTATATGTGCATATATAGTCCCACAGCTTTTCAAAGTTATTTTTTCATGAATTATACTATAAGATCATAAGACAAATAATTATTCTCATTTCACAAGGGCAAACTGAGGTACAGAGAGGTTAACTGGTCATACAGTTAGCACACATTAGAACAGGGATTGTATCCTGGGCCTAGTTAATGAACAGTGATTCTGTCTTTGAAAACTATGGAAATGATCCCAAATTATGATGCCTGAATTCTGAATCAACCACAGTCAGGTATCCCTCTCCTCTCCCCCACTCAGGGTCACTGGTCATGTCCATTCCATTTTGAATGCACTTAACATATGATGCTCCTTTCTAGTTGCCTCACTCATCTCCTCATTCTTCTTCCCCAATTCTAACTCTTCCCAACTGAAATTAGCATTGAATGAAGAAATCAGGGGACTCATGTTTGAAACCAAGCACTTCCTTTTAATTCAGTGTTTACCATGTCCAATTCACCTTACACATCACAAGACTAAGCCCTAGGACACATCATTTAGCCTATCTAATCCTCCTTTATCATCTACTTGTATATTACCCAATCCACAGTCTCCTGAACATTACAATATGGATAATATAATAAGGTTAATTACATGGTTTCTTGATTTGATAAAGGTAAACTTTGAAGAACAAGCTCAAGCCCCACCTTCTCAGATAATCATCTGCTAATATGACGCTAATTTGCAATAATCACTAACCTCTTTTGAACTCCAATTGCAATAACAATTGGTAGAATATGGCTTAGCATTCAGGCACATACTATTTTGGAACAACACTAAATGCACACATTTCCATTATTCTTACTCCTAAGTTTTGCTGAAAGAAACTTAATTACAAATATGCAGCCTTATATTTCTATGATTATATTTATAACCTAGTTTGCATATCTAGGAACATCTATAGATAGACAGAAGGATGGATGGATAGAGAGAGAGAGATAGATGTGCCATTATGTAGGAAATAAAATAATAAAATTCAGGTTTCTTCAAGCTGTTGGTTACAATCCTCATATTCATTACTGAGAGAGTTAGCATTAACCTTCAATTCACCCTCCAGCCAGTTGTCATTCTAATATACTGATTTTTTATTGTAGGCAGAGTGGAAATATTTGTAGACTTGTATAAGTACCAATGCTCTAACTTACCACCCCTAGGAACAGATTTAATTGATATAAAGTAGGATCCAGATATCTGGGCTCTGTTCAGCCAGGTGAGAGCCTCTGATCTCAATATCTTCCATAGGACAGTGGCAGTTAAAAAGCAGGCTGTCTGTGTCACTCCTCTGCTCACCACCTTTCAGTATTTCTCCAGTGCTTATAATAGACAATTCAAGTTATCAGCATTTCATGTAAACCCTGAAAACTTCAATTGTTATCTTCTTTCCTTCCTTCTTTTATTCAAAAGCAACAAATAAAAATTTTTAGTTAGGCGAAATAAGTTCAAGATCTATTGTGCCACATGGTGACTGCAGTTAATGGTTAACAATGTAATGTATTCTTGAAAATTACTGAGAGTACAATTTGTGTTCCCACAATGAAAAGGAAGTATGTGAAGCAATGCATAAATTAACTTAAATTTGCTATTTCACAATAAATATTTATTTCAAAATATCATGTTGTATACCATAAATATATGCAATTTTTGCACATCTGTGTATATGTATTTATATATATCAATGGAAGATCACAAACAGATCATTCCATTTCTGTGTTTGTGTCTTGGAACATATATTTTCTCTACTTTTTAATAATCTCTATAGAATGAGGTGAGGTATGAATAAGTTAATTGAGAAGTACTTTCTTTACTCTGTTAGCTTCAATCCTACACAGTCTTCAAAAGCCAGATTTACAGATTAACCATCACCATCCCTCATTCTGCTAGACAGCCAATATAGACTTTGATTTCTATGTACTTTATACACAATTCCATAGTAAGGGTCAACTCTAAATTAAGAGTTACATATTTAATATGTCCATCTCCATAGACAGTGAAATCATTGAGGGCAAGGACTACATTTCATTTCTCTTTCTCTTCCCAGTGCCACAATAATGACAAAACAACAACAACAACAACAACATAAAATACTGTGGATGGTCAGTATATTCATTTAACTGAATTAACCAAATCCAGAAAATTCACAAATCAGTACTATTATAAAGCCCACTGTACTGAAATCTGGTCTTTAGAATATTCAATGAGCACAAGGCATAAGCAAAGCCTACTCTTCAGAGGAATCATTTTGTTATTAAGTTCTCATCTGTGAAAGCTCTTTGGGTCTAGTTTAAAGTAGAATAATACAGCAAAATAGTAACACACTGAGATAGGAAGACAACTCCCATTCCCAGAAAAAAGCACTCCATTTTCCTGTCAAATGTTTGAGAATATGAGCAGATGAAAACCCATTAACAAATCACTCCAAAAATATTCTGGACATTCAATTTCAGCCAATCCACTACCAGTGCCTACAAAAGGATCTATACTGTATGATCTCCTCTGAAATAATCTCCAAGTTAGCAATTAATGCAAAGTATAATATGCTTTTCAAATATTTGGTTATTTTGCATTTACAAAGTTGCAAACATATTGGCAGTGTATTCCTCTTGTAAATTTAAAAAAATGAGCATAAAGACAAATGTACCTAGCATGCATAATAAACATAGGGTGCAAAAGCAGGATTTGCTTTCACCTCTCCAGAATGAAAGAGTTTCACAGTTGAATATAGGACCATATTGCCTACGGAGTTCCGTGTAATTGCTTTACTTATGACACAGAAATCTAATTCTGCTTCCATGCAATTTAACAGATTTATGGAAAGCCAGATGTTAGCAATTATGGAAGCTGACATTATTCATATTCTTGGTAATACAGACCTGTTTGCTCTGCACAAAGCCAACTTAATCTATTATACATATCCCAAGGCATCCAAAAGGAAGAGGTGCCCTATTTACATATTGCAACTGTTGTTCTCTGCTGAGCAAACACAAAGATATTCACCCATAAGACTTACCCAAATCATCAGACAGGCCTCCCAATGACAAAGAGGCAATGAAACAAAAATCAGGCAAAATATTTTGCACTCAAATCTATAATCGTTACAATGTGATTTTTTTTCTTATTGTAAATAATGGCTTCCTGTGAGTTCCTTGTGTTTATCCTTATGCATTCAGTACTTAAATGTCCCATGTTCAAATGAGACTTTTTTCAATAAGATTCCATGGCTTAGCTTGTGTTAGAACTAATTTCCTTGCATTGACATTTTCACAGTTTCTGAAAGCTGTTATTATTGTACTCAATTTTGCTTTCGAAAAAAAAAAGTCTATTGTGCCTAGTCAATCTGCTTTCTTCGTTGATTTGAGGTTCTTAGGTTACTTGTGCATGTAAGAAAGTATAATTCAGAGATGTTTATATCAGAGGCAATCAAACTAGTCCCAACTTAGCCCCAAACAATTTTCCTACCCTTCAAGAAAAATGGCTTTGCAGAAGTTTTAATAGCATACATAGCAACTGTAGTTATACCTGCCTCAGGAACTGAAACTTCTACAGGTTGATTTCAGAGATAAAGGGAAACATTTTTCCCCCAAAGGTTTGGTAGCAGTTAGGTCAAAGAAGTGAACTTTTTCATTACTGCATATTCCTCTTTCTTGAATATCTTTCACAGCACAGTCTTATTTTCAAACTCAAAACAGGTGATGTGTCAGAAAACAAAATTTAACCTGGGGTTTGAATATCCAGCTGTGTGCATTCTGACTTGAAATCATTAGTAGACATTAGTGGCT